TAGAAATACCTCGCATACCACTTATTTTAATTACATATCGTGTTTGAAGCCTTCTTAATGTAACAGGAGAGAATACAACTGAACAATATATGATGGATACACTTTGAAGAACTGTTCAAATATGGAAACAACAAAAAATCAATGTTGACATTTGTGATTTTACATTATATCCAAAAATAGATGCATTTTCAGCTCGATATATTGTGTTTTTAGAATTACTTAACGAAAATTCTCAACATGAAAATAAACTAAATATTAGTGACTACTCGTGTTAGTCCAATTCAAGTTAAACCATATCGATTATTGAAGAATGAACAACATATTCAATTCTTCTATGATAATGAAATAGATTTATCCTCTTTTTCATAATTCCTTTTCTTCGCAATAATAGAGACAATCAAGACCATCATTGACAGTAAACATTCTTCTTTAATTTATTAGTTCATTTGATTTTTTTTCATTGTACCAATAAAAAAAATTTATCATAAATTTTCATTTGGCAATTCTAGAAAAACCACATTGCATACAAGGATCTTGGAAATCTATTGAGTTTGAATAAAAATGATTGATCAAAAACTTGTAAATATTCAAGTTCGATTGATATGATTCTAGTAGTTCTAATGCAGACATGACATGGCAATATGCTACAAATACAGTTCATGTTAGAGTTTAAACATTCTTCATGATCAATAACTTCAACACCATTGAGAAAATCTCAAAAAATTGATTTGTCCTTCGCCACTATGAACATAGAGAAATGACGCATAGAAAATAAGTAACTAGCAATTTTCAACGAATATGATGTTAACATAGAACATCAATAATATATTTCATGCATTAAACTTGAGTGAAATCATACGAGCGCTACCATTTAATGAATTTGGCTAACTCAGCGATTTCTGTGTCGGCATCTATTCATCCCTGCCTAGTCCAAAATAATGACGATGGAAAAAAAGAAAAATGCGGTAAATAAAAGCCGTGAATAAATTCATCTCGTTGATCTATTTTTTACTTCTAGCGACTCAGTGTCTTCACATTATACACTTGGTGGTTTACTGCATCATTCGTTCACGTATTGTACAAAACTTGGATAATATATCTTCCATGTGTGAGGATCAAACTGTACGTAATTTGAACTATGATTATATCGATGAGGAACTCATCGACGAAGAACTCAAATGTTCATTATGTTTACTTCCTTTCATGGATCCAGTATCAACGCCATGTCGACATGCATTTTGCAAGTCATGTATTGAACAGTGGTTAGACAATCATTCATCTTGTGCCATTTGTCGAAATAAACTTTTCAAAAATGATCTAACGCCAATACTTGTATTATTCGTGACAAATATACTTGATCGTCTTCAAATCAAATGCAAAGCTTGTGACAAAACAGAACTGCAACGAGGTGATTTTAAGAATCACATAAAGAAAGAGTGTCCCAAGACGATCGTACATTGTTTGGCCTTTTCTATGAATTGTCCTTGGACTGGACCGCGTGATCAGCTCCATGATCATATGGCTACATGCAGTTTTGAACAATCACGAAAGACAATCATTGAACACTTGGATATTATAAACATTTTTATGGAAAAGGACGCATAGTACAACATTTCTGCTGACCATCAATAATGTCGATGAGACAAATTGAAAATCATGTGTATATTCATTTTTGTAAATTTTTGTGAAATATGTTCATTTTTTGTCATCTATATTTATTAAACATGAAAAAAAAGTATGATAAAACAATTGATACAGTCAATTCATTTACATTCTATCGATGTTAACCTTCTTTGTATTTTCGTTCTATCATCGAAATTCTACAAAAAAGAATTCAGCGAATCGATGAAACGTTACGGAGAAAGTTAGACAAGTACTACTTCTGTTAATTTCGTACGTGATGCTATTTGTGAAATACTTATTGAGTTCCACTATTCGTTGAATTGGATAAGTCGGAAAGAAAAAAAAAACAATATGGGCTGAATAGAACATTCAGATAGTGAGACATGTTGAACGAATTCCACTTATTTTGACTTATCTGATTACTTAATTTTTATTTCCTTTCAACAAAGCTCTATTTGTTTTTTACATTTAATCCACGAGAAATTGCGTTGAAACCCTTGTTTTTATATTGTATTCGAATGTAATTCTTTTTTTTTTCGATACTGAATTCGATTTCCCAAGTGTTCTACTACAAGAGACTTTGAGAGTTTTCAACCTTTAGAAATGGTATCAACCGTTGTTTAGTGACGCTTTCTGCCCAAAATTTAGAAAATGAAAAACTTTCATATGTCTAACACAATGATAATAATTCTATTATTTTCAAAGCTGTTTTTCGCTGCACAATAAATCTTGAATTCTATTGACTAAAACCATCATTCATGTAGAAACATGCCGAATTTTCAAATTTGTTTCACTAGAATGACAATGAATGCATCCTGCCAAAAGAACACAAAACGAACCCGTCGAGTTCGGATGCTTCGATTAAATATAATCCATTCGATTCACTAGTCGAAATAATAATCAAATCGATCTATGAATATTGATTCTATATTACAATCCATATGATGAAAATAACCGCCATGAAATCATTGTCTTTGACCTGAAGGAGATTGGTCACTTGAATGTTCTTCTAATGTTTAATGACAACTAGAGAATTCGAGTCATCTGATTGATGAACAAACAAATGATATTGTCGACAGCATACTTTACTATAGTGATAGGCGGAGATTGAACTCACTTGGACACACGGGAGAAATAAAAAGAATTCATTGGTCAGAAGACAGAACTGTTCGAAGCGGTTCTTCGGTAAGAACGTCAATAAATGTTATTTCAATGAAGTGATCTGGCTGTTCTTCGAGAAATCTCTTTAGAAAATACTCATTTTAGTTGTTTTTTTTTCGGGCACAAATATTTCTATGAAGTCTACCAAGAGTTTTAACTTTTATTAATGTTCTAAAATCGTCTAACGATCTTTAATCTACTATTGAAACTCCCAGATCTATAGTTTTGTGGGTCAACCGAATGGCGACACCATCTTTCAGGCATACTTTCGATTTTTTCCTAAATTTGTACTCATATCCGCATCAGGTACAATTACAGAGTTCTCAAAATCTGCTCTAATATGAAACTTCATCAGAATATCTAGCTCTAACATTCCTACAATTTTTGTTTTTCGGTTAATACAATTTGACCAAAAAAAACATTGAATTGTTATAACAAATGTCAACATCATACAAACAATGATTGTTTCCAGTGATAGATACGAAATTCTATATGAAATTTTAAGTGTTGAGTAGTGTCATTTTTATTCCTCTACGGAAAAGTATTTTTCTCATGAAAACTTTTCGACAAGTAATCAAAAGTAGAAAGTATTTATGTGTCCAAGAAATGAAACAACAAATATGTGATAAACGAAAAAGAACATTTGAAAAATGAAAGAAAATATCGAATATAGATTTTAGGTTATATTAAATTGACAGCAGAAATTAATTCTATAAAAATATAAAACATTCCATGGCTTATGCGTCAAAAAACATGAAGAAGAAAAAAAAATATTTCGGATGATAAAATAAACATTGATTTTAATGGATTACAATTTTATTGATTAAAACAAATACAATGAATTTGATGTTTAAATCTACGTCATGAAATCACTTTGATAAATATATTCATTTTAATCAATGATGTTGAAATATATCAAAACTAACATCCGTCCTTTTTTTTCAATCTAGGATAGAATGAGTAAAAAACTCATGAATTCGAAGTGAAATCTATACTGACAATTTTTATGTTAAGTTTTATAAAAACAAAATTCTTGTTTTGATTCATTCATGGAAACATAATTCTGATTATTACTTTGATAATATATTCAACACTGGAAAGTGATATACTATAAATTAAAGAGATCTGTCGTGTCTGAGTGAAAGGAATACTCTTACTATAAAAGTAATTATTTTAAAACATGAGCTACTTATAACGCGTACAGACCGAGATATTTGAAGTCTATGTCATATGTTTACGCTTCAAAATTTTAGCAGTAGTAATCTCAGAAAAACTATCAAGAATAATCATATATCGATGCAATGGATAAATCTCGGCGATTGGCTCGCTGTAAAACACTATATAGAAAGAGGCTCATCGGCTTGAAACGAAGTTCTAGAAGACACTACCTACAAGACAGAACTTCCAAACGATTCAATATTTCGATAAGTATCAATTACTGATCATCGCTATAGATATTTGTGCTTCTTGGTAAAGTTTATGAAAAAGATGATAAACAATTCTATTAACATCGTGATATATTCATCATCGGAGAAAATTTTCTTAATATTTCTGCTACTAATTTGAACACAGTTCGAATTCCTATTGGATACTCGATCACTGGATTCGATACTAGTCGTGATGATGATCTTAACGGATGAGAAATGTGTATTTATTTCATCAAAATCTACACCCACATCCTTGTATTCTAGCTATGCACATAAAATGCAAAATAAATACACTAATATCGGCGACAGAATATAAGTCACCTGGTTGTTTTTTGAATAACTTTTGATAGGAACAAGATAAAGACCTGTGGTTTTCAGCATTTGATAGCCAAGACCTAAGAACATATTTTTATAAGGAAAAACTTTTCTGAGGAAGAAGTCCGAAGTTTGGTTTTTCAGAGGATCTTTTAAAAACCACAC